GTTTGATTCCTCACTCCTCCACATGAATCCAACTGGGTGACCTTGGGTCAGTCACAAGTTCTCTCAGAGCTGTTCTCTCATCAGCAGTTCTTGGGAGAGCTCTCTCAGCCCCACCCACCTCACAGGGTGTCTGTTGTGGGGAGTGGAGGGGAAAGGAGATTGTAAGAGATTGAGAGTAACGTTGTCGAAGGCTTTCACAGCCGGAGTTCATTAGCTGTTGTTGATTTCCCAGGCCGTGTGGCCGTGGTCTTTGCATTGTAGGACCTGACATTTCGCCAGTAACTGTGACTGGCATCCTCAGAGGTATAAACACAGAAAGATGGAATACTCTCTGTGTCAAGGTGTTAGTTTGATGTAGTGGTTAGGAGCGTGGACTCTAATCTGGGAGACTTCGGTTTGATTCCCCACTCCGCCACATGCAGCCAGCTGGGTGGCCTTGGGCCAGTCACAGTTCTCTCAGAGCTGTTCTCTCAGGAGAAGTCCTCAGAAGAGCTCTCTTGGCCCCGCTTACCTCACAGGGTGTCTGTTGTGGGGAGGGGGAGGAGACTGTGAGCCGCTCTGAGACTCCCCAATGGTGTCCTGAAGTGGCTTGCATCCTTCCCTTCTCCTTTCTTTGACCCTCCCAACAACCCTGTGAGGTAGGTTAAGCTGAGAGAGTGTGACTGGCCCAAGGTCACCCAGCGAGCTTCCATGGGAGATGGGGGATTCGAACCTGGATCTCCCAGATGCTTGTCTGATCCTTTAACTACTACACCACACTGGCTCCCTGGAGCTTTGTGGGGAAGTCGAAAAGATGGGACCCACATTTTTGACAACGATAGGTGTAACTGACTTACTTGGCATTGGTGGACTCCGTGTGCATGCTCACATTTTCAATCCACCATACAGGTTTTTGCAGGTTTTCGATCAGGGGTCATAGAATCATAGAATGTTAGAGCTGGAAGGGACCTTGCAGGTCATCTAGTCCAGCCCCCTGCACTCTGCAGGAGCACAGCCGCAAGAGAGCCCTACGACATACCCGAAAGATGGCTGTCCAGCCTCCGCTTGAAAACGTCCAGCAAAGGAGCATCCACCACCTCCCGAGGCAGACTGTTCCACTGCTCAACCACTCTGACAGTCAGAAGTTTCTCCTGATATCTAGCCGGTATTGACTCCCTTGTAATTTCCACCCATGAGATCTAGTCCTCAACGTGGCCCCCAAGGCACCTGCCAACATCTTTCCTGGGGTCCGCTAAGTGTTTTTTTTTAATGGGCGGGGCCGGCTTGGGCTTTTGCCCAGCAAGGCTTCTGATTGGCCACTGGAGATTTGATTGGCTGTGCAGACTTTTTTTTTTAAGTGTTGCTTTGGCAGCCGCTGCCACCGCAGCACAAGGAAAGTAAGATCGACGGCGGCCATTTTGTGGTTGCACCCACCACCCTGTGTCAGGATCCCAGATGTGCCCACAGGGTTAAAGAGGTTGGGGACCCCTGAACTAAAGGAGACGTAAAGGAACTCTGTTGGGGGACTTCTGTCCTTGAGCCCCTGGCCAGCGGCGGGCTCCTTGTGAGTCCACGTTTGTGGCTACCTCAGACGCAAACTCTCCAGAGATACGAGCAGCAGGGTTGCCAGGTGAGAAGGACACGCCAGCAGGGGATGAGGGGGGACTTTCCGGGAAGCAGAGAGGAGCACCACGACATCCCTACGTCACCTGGAAGTGACATAGGCACATCAGGGGCGACGCTCTGGTTCTTGGGCAAAAGTCTATGGTAAAATGGGCCTCAAACCATAGAGTTTTGCCCAAAAACCAGAGTGGCGCCCTGGCATGCCCACCTCACTTCCAGGTGAAGCAGGCATGTTGCCCAACATTGCTGCTGGGGGCTTCTCCTGTCCTCCATTTTATCCTCACAACAACCCTGTGAGGTAGGTTAGGCTGAGGGGGTGTGACTGGCCCAAAGTCACCAAGTGAGCTTCCATGGCATCAGTGGGGATTCGAATCCGTGACTCTCAGATCCTAGTGTGACATCCTAACCACTGCACCGCACTGCCTCTCCCAAAATACAGGATAATTTGGAGCAGATTCCGGATAGTAATTTCTGAACAGAGTTACGTAGAACTCTTCTAGATCCTTCTTCATACTCTGCGTAAAATAAATATTTTGTGACCTTCTGGTTTTCTGCACTTGGGAGAGCCACCTGACGCCAGCCTTGCTGTCGGAATGCT